TTATGATTAGAACTGGAAAAAGATGAATTTGAATAAAACCATGGAGAATAAAAAGCAGATGAGAACACAAAATAGCGAAGAAGAATAAGGATAAGAAAAAAATATGTTGGAGTTAAAGAAGAAAACCAAAAGAGAAAAAAATGAAAAATGAAGAAAACAAAGAAAAAGAATAAGAAATGGGAAAATGAAGTAGGTGAAGATGAGAAAGAGATGAAGAAAAACCAGAAGAAGAAGAGTTTGATGAAGACCAAAACACAATAAGAAGTAGAGAATAAAGAAGGCTAATAAAGATTGAAAAAAAAAGAACTGAAAGAATACAAAGATGGTGAAGAAGAAGTCAAAGACAATGATGAAGATGAAAAAAAAAGGGTGAGGAATAAGAAAATCATAGGAAAAAAAAAAGTACAAGTCAAAGACGATGAAGAAGAAGAATGAAAATATGAGGAAAAAGAAGATGAAGAAAAAAAAAAGTATAAGTCAAAGATGATGAAGACGAAGAAGAATGCAAATATGAGGAAAAATAAGATAAAGAATTTGGGGCAGAAAAAGAAGAAAAAAGCCTTATGATTGGAGACTGAAGAAAAAGATGAATATAAACCAAAAAAAATAATAAGAAAAATACAAAATAAAACTAAACCAAAAGATAAAGAATAGGAAGAAGAGTATAACAAAAAAAAAAGAGGAAGAAGAAGAAGAAGACAAATCAAAATAGAGAAATGAAATAGAAGTTGTAGACGATAAAGAAGAGGAAAGAAAAGATAAAGAATGAGAAAATTGACGTTGATGATAAAGAAGAAGGAGAAGACCGGAAAAAAAATAAGAAAAATTATGACAAGACGAAAATAAAAATAAAAAGGGGAAATGGATAATGAATTTGGAGAAAGATGGAGATAGTGAGAAATTAAGTTAAAGCTTTCAGGGACACGTAGATGATTCATGAACATGCAGATGGAGAAGGGACATGTAGATGATTCATGAACATGCAGATGGAGAGAGAGAAAGTGTGTGAGGGAGAAAAATAGAGAGAGAGAGGAAGAGAGAGAGAAAGAGAAATGGTTGAGAGAGTTAACTATTCGAAATGGTAGAGAGAGAAAGAGAATAACTATTCGAGTCTCGTAGATTTTGTATTGCTATAAATTATTAAATTGTCTTCTATCTCGAGCGTGTATCATATGACCCGTCACAAATGAAAGAATGACTAAAGATTACGTATGTTAGAAAAATAAAATAGTAATACCTGAGTTACTTATAGGTAAAAATTAATTGTCTTTGGCATCTTCACATCAGCCAGAATCAATTCTAATGTAACACCTTGATGTGGTATATATTCAGTCCACATTCTCAACAATTTAACACGGATCAACCATTCAGTCGAACTGGGGTTCAAGTCTTCAATGAAATCAAATGCAACCATTTTTGACTCTGAAGTGAAGGTTTTAAAAGTATTTATTAAAATGTATGGGTGTGAATGGTAACCAATCAAATGCGGAATTTGAAGCAAAAAAAACAATGCACATAAATCATCAATCAGACAAATTTTCCTATAAATTGCATTTTTAAAAATAATTGACGGTTTTATCCAATGGATAATACGTTGGACCGCCTTTTAAAACAGACCACTCCATTTATCCAGCATTTTTTTGAAAAACGTATTGGATAATTATATTTGTTTTTGTTTTTCTTTCAATTCAAATATTTAATTATTAAAGTATCTTATAAATACCTACAATGCTACTATAATCAAATACACAAAAATCATAAAGAAAAAAACTCAAATATAGAGAAGATCAAAGAAAAAAAAAACAAGTTCTTGTTTTTCTTCCTCTCACAACCTAAATTTTCATTAGATATAGTTTTATATATATATATAAAAATTAATGTTTTTAAATTTGTTTTTCTATACCAATCATAGATATTTTTATAAAAACTCAAATTAATCTTATTTTGAATTGTTGCATGACATCATTTAACTAATTAAATCATATTTACACTAACAATAAAATTAAATTTTGTCCCAAATTTGACTAGATTTTAACATAAAATCTACTCATAATTTAAGTTAAAATATAAACTGTTATGCTTTTTTTTTACTATTCACATACTAAATTGGATTGAATATACGTGATGATGTCATTATAATATTAATATGGACAATTACTTATATATAATTTTATAGTATTTACCAAAAAATATTGAAAATCTATTTTAGTTGGTTTTTTAAATCAATTTCTATCTATATTTTTTTAAGTTCCAATGATCATTGAGAGTCTCAGAAAGGAAT